GGAAAAGCGCATCTAGATTGGCCACGGACACTTTTCCGCAAAAAGTGCTTTTGCGGAAAAGCGTCCTGCCAATCTAGACGCGTTTTTCGGAAAATGCTTTTAACGGAAAATTTTTCCATTAAAATCGTTTCCAGAAAATCATGCCAGTGTAGATGTAGCCAAGCAGCACAGTATTTCCACAAAAAGCACTGATTTCTTACACTAGGAAGTCAGTGCTTTTGCAGAAATTCAAGCAGCCAGTGTAGACAGTTGGCAAGTTTTTCTGGAAAAGCGGCTGATTTTCTGGAAAAACTGGCCAGTCTAGACACAGCCATGGTGTAATAATTAGCACGCAGGACTTTAAATCCTGAAATCCGCGTTCAAATATTAATGGGACCTGTGGGTGAGATGTTGGCTTGTTGCAAATCCTTTGCAATCAATGCTTCTTGCCCTGCTCTCTCAATGTCCCTCTGTGCTTTCTGTCTTTCTCAGTCTAAGGAGTTTGGAGAAACCTGCAGTGTAGTTGTAGCCTGCTTGGTTTTGCGCAAAAACCCCTAGGCAAAAATAAATCAGCAGAAAATATTCAAATGAGATCACAACTCATACAAATGAGTCTCTCATCAGCATATTTTTTGCCAAGAAAACTCGTAGTATAGACGTAGCCTATAAGTAATTCCCCCTCCTGCCAACACAGCAGTGCTCACTTTAATTTCCCATCACTTTACTTACTGCACCTACACCTCTTCAGAATTGCACTCCTATACTCGTGCTTACAATCACATGCTTCAGTGTCACGGATTCTCTGTTGTTACAGTCCATTTGCTAGGACAGTCCTGCTGTTCTGTGTTGCCAAACCCCAGGGTTTTTAAAATGAATTATCTTTGGTGGTTTTATGTTTGTGTGTTTTTTTCAAGGTCTGGGGCACTGTGCTGACCTCACCAGAGGTGGCTCCCTCCTGTGTTTCTGCAGGGGAACAGCTAACGCATGTTCATCCGGGTCTGTAAAACACACATTGGCTGCACACCGGGGCCACTGACTGAGATACAAAATCAAACATTATCATTATCTTAAGAACTCTGATGTGGGTTGTGGCACTAATGCTGCTTTGCCATGACAGGTATTTGCATCTGAATGTCTGCAGTTCCCTGTCTGTGCATGTTATGGAGAAGCAGCATTAAGGGGTTGTCTGCCTGTGTAGACGTAGCCTTGCTGTGTAGACGTACCCTAAGACACCAGCTCCCCCCAGCCCATTCCCACAGGTCTCCAAACAGCCCTCGGGTGGGACAGACTCTGGGTCCCTGCTGCCCTGGGCTGAATGTGCCCAGTGCCCAGCAGTGACAGGCCCATGTCCCACCCCACAGCCCTGAGGCAGCCAGTCCCCAGGGAGGTGACAGCTCCAGGAAACACTTGAGCTCAGATTGTGCCCTGAATGGAGAATTCCCACATTTTTTATCAAAAAGTGAGCAGCTCAGGATGAAGTTTACCAGAGAATTTTGTGCCCAGCCTGTGACCTTCCCCTCACATCTGGCTGCAGAGCCCTGTGGAGATGTGGTGCCGATATCAGCTCCAGGCTCTTTCCATGCCCTGTGAGGGGCTGCTGCGGTCTCACTGCTACTGGCAGGGTGTTCGCTCCTGTAGTGTGCAAGGCACCAAGCTGGGAACCTCCCGTCCCAGGGGCTGTGTGGCTGTGTTCCCCATGAAATGAGCACATCCGTAACTCACAGGGAGGTGAGTGTCCAGAGCCACTCACAGACTTGCAGTGAAACAACAATTTGGGGAACTAAACCCCCTCCTTCCCATGAGCAATGTCAGTGACACGGGGTGTGTCACCGTGGCTGTGCCTTTCTGAGCATCCAACCACCAGCCTGGGGCCAGCAGAGCGGCAAAGGTCAGCAGCAGCTGGTGTGTGCGAGCGGTAAGTCATAAAGCATGAGAAACACACAGCTAAGCTTGAGCTGAAGAGGGATTTTATAGCTACTGCTCTCTGCTTTATGACTTTACAGCCTAAAGATCACAGCCCAGCCCCTTCCAGCCTCAGATAAGTGCTGGAGAGATGTTATTTTCAAACACTGCAAAACCCTGTAGACCAGGAGTTCTCAAACTTTCTGATACCACAACCCCCTAAAATTCTAAATGAATTTTTGTGACCCCTCCCCCCCACTGCTCTGGGTTGCTTCTTCCCCCCTTCTCACCAGACTCCTTGCCCTCCTGGGGCTCCTTCAAGGTGTTTGCGGTCCTCAACGC